CTGGTGGAACCGACCTTCGAATCTCTTCACCCAACACTTCTACTCGAAATGGAAGTAATCCCAACAACATTTTTTTAGGGTTGTTGGCTCGATTATTTTTCTCCGACTGCTTCCTTTGGTGCTGACACGACCGGACAACGGAAGATTTGAGTGCCTGCGTCATACCCAAATCCGCACAGGCGACGATTGCATTCCACCTTCTAATCCACTTCCTACACCACTCATAGATTCGTCTCATCCACAAAACATAATACTGCATTCCATGCATGTATAAGAGTTATCTTGGGGTCATTACTGGACATTTGCGTGCATGCATGTAGGTCTGCCTACCCAGTCATTCACACCAACGGACTAGAGACAGTGCAGTAACAGACTTTGAGGAGTTGGGTTGGAGGCATCAAGGCCGGTCGACCACAGGCTCTCACACCCAAGGGGTGATTATTGTTAAATGCTAAATTGGCGCCATTTTGGATACAAAATAAGCCGGGAGTCGCGACTTCAACAGAAGCACCTCTTGCCCGGCTTGATCCGCGCAAGCATTAGTTTTGCACATACGTGCAACTGTACTGAAGTGAGTGGTGTGTGAGTGCGAGCCTGTTGGAGTCTATGTGCCGGTTAGTTTCAAGTGCATGTTTTCGTGTGATTTTCAGAGGGAAAAATCAGCCCGGCTAATGGTATCTGGTAGAAGAAAAGGTAGGAAGCTCGAAATTCAGAGGACAGACTTTGAGGCCATAAACCCCCAATCGTCTGTTATTTTTACCATCTAATATCAGCTCTTACTATATCCTTGTTTATTCCTTTTAGTCAATCTACTCCTCTACATTCGTGGCTAGGCATCCGTCCGGCAGACGATAGAAATGATATTGCGGCCACACAAACGGCCTCACCACTCTTTTCTTTGTCTGTGCACTTTTCTCTTCAATCTCTGGTAACCGAACGCATGGTTGCATAGTCTTTGGGGCCGTCTGCAACTTGTTGCCGAGACATTATGATGCTTTCTGAGGCTTCATTTAAAACAACTCCTTCATTAGGCATTATTAGCATTACTAATGCGATACTACTGGCAGTCTCTATTAACAGTAGTATATGTGGACTGAGATTGTCTTATTTTATCTTTTTAAACGGGAACGGCAGTGGTTTTAAGTGACACGGTTTCTCATTTCCATGTAAAATTTGATTGCAAGGAATTGGAGAATCGGTCCAACCGAAATCCGAAGAAGGATTATGGCAGAGTGAAGACTGTTGGATTGTGCATGAAAAATGTATTTACAAAATCGAGCAGTCCTCATACCATGACAATCCCCCTTCTGTTTCCGGTGCGACCTATTCATCAATTGTTGCTAACCGTCATTACCCTGAAAAGGGAAAGTAATGTAACTACAGGGCTCTTCGAAACTCACATTTTTTCCATATTTACAAAGACTGCCCGATCGCCGAGCACATTCCTCACCGCGAATGAGACAGAGGTTTAGGAGGCCTTTTCTGCATCCAATTGACTACTGTAAATACTTATTATGGGCAGTTTTATTGCCTCTGTACCAACAGGCGTGTCTGTATGCAGGCGCCTCTGCCTCATTGTGTGAATGCGTGTATGTTCGAAAAAGACTTGGGACTTTGGCTCCTTTAGACTGGCGACTGAATGACCAATTTGGCCCTTACGCCGGAGTGGGGCAGAACTCCAAGCATTACCATCATCATCTCATCACAACAGAAAGCCGCCCTGGCCATAGGGGAATCCTCCCCACCTCAATTCCGGCCTAATAGTTGTGGTGGTTGGTATCTTCCAGTGTGGGTACACGTCTACATGGGGGCCGGCATAGGAGGAGATGGCGGTGCGAAAATCGTGGCGCCGAGGCTGTAGACAAGTCGGGTAACGAGATGAATGTGAACGGTCTCCCCTGAAATGCATAGTTTTCACTCTGTTGTTCGAGCCATATCAAGGCGGGTGGCTTTCTCGTAGGCTCCCGAGTTCGGACTTGGGCAGAGGTCAAATGTTTGCCAGCGATTGTGAGGATGTGCTTATGGCTCGGTCAAAAGTTAGCCAATATTGTCCGGCTCCATTTTTATCGGTCGCTCTAATCATCTATTTGCGTTTTATAAGTAGCTTTTCCAGACTACATACAAGATGTATTCATCTTATTTCATCTTTTCTCTCGGCCACTCCATTCAGTCTATTTGGTCTCGAGCGTTCATTGCCCCATCGCCGATATCTTACACCGCACCTGCTATTTTTTGGGCAAGCGTAAGCAAGGGACAACATTACTCCGAAGTCTTATAGCGGCGGCTCTGTCAGAAAAGCAAATCATGTGTTTCATTTTTATGGGATACTTTTCCATACAAATTACGAATTTTGTTTTGCTTAGAGAAATATTGAGACTCATCCCGGCTCCAAATAGCCATCCAACTGCACATCATGCACCACTTTTACCCAAAGATTTATCTCCATCAGTCTAGTAAAATGAAAGGCTAAAACACTGAATAAGTCATACAGTTTGCGATAATTGAGCACCAAATGTTGAATCCTCCATCAAACATTACAAGCTGTGTCAATGAAACTTTAGTTTCATATGAAAATTTTAAGGGAATGGGTGGGAGGAATGCTTTCGTTTGTCCTACTGAGCTGGATCTAAACCGAGCGGGAGACCATTATCTCATATAAAAGCCAAAGTCAACAATAATGACAGGTCATAATCAAACATACTTCATATGGCCTAACCTTTGGATCAGTTTGACTAAATTATTGCATTTCTTGCATTCTTACAGATGAGTATAGTTGGTGTGATTGTGTCCGAACGTCCGTTTTCATATTTTAGATGACC